GGACTTGTATGCATGCATATAAGCATAACCAATGGACATAAGACACTGGGGGATAGGGGAGGCTAGGGGACTGTCTAGGGCAGGGGGAAAAATGGACACATATGTAATACCCTTTGTAATAAAAAATTAAAAAAAAAAAAGTCCAGGAGTCCTGCGATGGATGCCCTGAGGAGGGAGGCCTCGCCTACCCACTGCAGCGCCACAGGCCAGGTAACCTGGGCCTCTCTCTGGGGGGCGATGGATCATGGAGCTCCGCGAGGTGATCATGGGGCAATGGTGGGGCCCCCAACCAATCGCATCGCACCCGCCTTGGCTGGCCTGGTGTCATAGTGTGGTCGTCCAGAAGGTTGTTCAGCTGTTTGGCTGTTCGGTTGATTTGCATATTATGCTTTTATTATCATAGATAGCTCAAAGCTGAATAATGCTACTTTCCCTCCTCTCTACTTACTTCCAAATGGAAAAATCAAACTCACCTTAGCTGTCTTTCTCACTTTGAGTTTTTTCCTTAAGTAACTTGTCAGTGCTCATCTTGCGGTTGCTCAGCAAAGTCCCTTGCAAGCATGTCTCCTGTGTGCCTGTGGATAATCTGATGGGCTGCAAGAATATGCTTCCGCTGTGCGTTCCTCACTGTGCCAAGTGACAGAAGAATTTTTACTCTGAAAGTCTGAACTCATTCATTCCCACATGTTTTCAAAACAGTCGTGATAGAAATGATAATTTTGCATCAGAATGCAAATTTTGTAACACAAAGATCGTAAATGACTTAAAGGTAAGGTGCCCCATACTTCCCTTTGAACCTCAGTTTCTAATATGGAGGCTCATGGCTTTAGAAGGTGGTCCTAGCTCCACACTCTAAGAATGTGTATCATCAAGGCTTAGTATATTAAGTACCACATTTCCCTTGCAAAGAAGTAATCATGATGATGATGATGTTAGCATTTAGCATTTGTCCTCATTTTATGCCATGCACTGCTTTAAGCAGTTGGCATATAACTATTCATTTAAACCTCATGACCCTAAAAGAGAGTTTTATTAATATCCCCGTTTTCAGATGAGGAAACTGAGACACAGAAGATTAAGTAATCTGCCCAAAGTCATATAGCTAACTCTCTATCCCTCTCTCTCTTCCTCTCTGTAAAAATTCAATAAAATATGTTTAAAAACACACACACACACTGGAAACTAGCTAAATGCTTATCGAAGAAGGTACTGGTTTAAAAAATTATAGTGCAATAATATAATGGGAAAATAAGATATTTCTTTGTTCTCTACAAATCCACGAGAACCCCACCATTCCTTTATCCCCGTTAAGTGGCCTAAAATACTACACTTCTCTTAAACATGTCCAGAATCCCCCTTAATAACTCTGACACGTACTAAGATGTTATTTCACTTTAAGTATTGACCTCTGGTTGCACCCCTCCCTCTGGGATCGGGTCTGTCACCAATAGTCCCAAAGCTCCAAAAGAATATTCTTTTTTTAAGACACACTTTTTCCTCCTTATCTGTTGACTAAAAGCATCAATCTTCCAAAACATCCACTGTTGACAGGTGGCATCTGAGGGTATTTACTCTGCCATACAGACCTGGCAGCCACTGGAGGCATCTGTGACACAGGGGCGCAGCAGAGCAGCGTCAGACCCTTCAGGCGCCCCCGCTTTCAACAGTCACCTGCACGTGCCCTGCCTCCACGGGCTGCTTCATTTTGAAAATCCCGCATATATTCTCAACATACTTTATGTTTTTAAAAAATCAAATCAAAAAGTACACCTCTTCTGGAACTTGGGAACTCCCTCTCAAAGGAGGGTTGGCTCTTGATGCTCGGCCACGCTTATTAGGACTTTGCCCATCTACACTAGAGGTGAGTATATCTGGGATAAGCAGGAAGAGGACTGGACAGGCTCTGAAATAAGAAAGCTCAGTGATTCTCCTTCAGAAATCTCCCCATACCTCTGCTCAGTTTGAAATCTCCGGGATACTGAAAGAGTTTATCTTTTTAAAAAATCATACAGGGACGCATTTGCATGGGTTTACCTTTTTCTTTGACGAACTCCTTTTGCACCTCTGGGATCAGGAAACTATAAACCAACTCAGCAACAATCTCCTCTGACTGAAGCTGAGTTCGACTAAAAAATAAACAAATTAAACTTTCTTTGTGGCTGTACTTGGATCCTCCTGACTTGTAAAGGAACTCCACCATCGCCTTTCCCCTAGTTACGTGAAATATGACATTCCTGGTGAGCTTGGTTAACCCCATGGAAAAGTCGGATTGGCCCCGCCCTTCATGTACCCTGCCAGCCAGGATGGGAATGTTAGAGATACAACTTATCCATGGGGGCCACACACCTCGGGGTGGACTCCAAGCAATGTTGCATGTACTTACTCACATGTCCTTCATGCTTTGAGGTATTCTAACGTAAGTAATGTAAAAGCCAACCAGCCTGCAGAGACTTCTACTCCCAGTGCTCCCACCATGCACAGGGATAGGCATGTTAGCTTCTAAAGCGCTACGCTAATAAAACAATGGGCACTGAAGCATGAGATACATATTTGTGTTTCCTTGGTGGTGAACTCTTAAGCTCCTGAAAAGTACATGTAAGTAACAGCAAGTGGGCTCTCTATTCTACCATCCACTCTCTTGGTACATACCGGCTTTCCATTTCATAAGCAATGTCATTGATTTCCTTAGCCTTCTTCTCAATTTCCGCCCTGGCTTGTTCTTCTGCAGTTTTGTCTTCGGTTTTCAGTATTATGTCTTCCAGGTATGAAGATATAGTACTCTGGTGAACTTTAACCACCTGTAAAAACCCCAAATGCCCACAGCTACTGAGAACAGGAATACTAATGTAAACAAGACAAGAAAAATGAACACTGGTTGACATTTTAGCTCATTTACTCAGTTCGTTAAGTCCCTTCTTTGATTGTTCCTGTTTTCTACTATCTCTAGACCATTTGTTTCTAACCCACCTTTCTACCCATTCTAGGCAGCCCCCTCCCATATAACCCATTTTAGAATTGTGGATTTTCCTCGGAGGTGGACACTACACATTGCAGAAAGATCCTGGATCCCGGCTATGTTCTTATCCACAGCATGTCTTGTCACACTACCTAACTGTGGCAGAGACTAAGGTATTTCCCAATGTCTTTCCTCTTCAATAAGAGAACCTCTGGATTTTAGCTGAGCCAATAGGTCCCTAGAACAGACTGCATTTCCTAGCACCCATAGTTCTAGCCAAGGGAAAACCTGCATAAGTGATGCAGGCACCTTCCAGAACGGATTGTTAAAAGGAAAGACTTAGCTTTATTTTTTTCCTTTTTCCTTCCTCATTTCATGGGGACATAATGCTGGAGCAACAGAAGTCATCTTAAACTGCCATGAAGGCCAGGCCTTAGGGACAGAAAAGCAGAAAGCTAGAGGAATCCTGGATCTTTGATGAACTTTCTGAACCATCTTATCCGTCTACATTGCTTCTTTTTACAGCTTTCTTCAAACTGTGAAACAGAATACACATGCAGAAAAGTGCGGAGTGCATGAATGTACAGTGTAACGAATCAGAGCAAAGCAAGCACCCACCAGCCACTGCCAGTATCCCAGAAGACTGCTGTGGGTTCTTCCTGACCACAGTCGCCTTCCCCTCTCACAATTTTACAGCAAACGTTTTCCTTTTCTTATACTTTTACTCCCTAAGTAGGAACCATAGTAATAGTTTAGTTTTGCCTGTTTTACAGGTAGATACACAGGAGGCACATGTGCAGCATCCTTAGTTTTGTATGCATTCTATCTCAACAGATTTTCAGTTTCTTGGGAGAAGGGTACTTTTTTATTTCATGTCTGGATATTTCTGTGTATCTTGGGACTCAGTAATAACTCAGCACGTTTTTTGACTGGCGCTATACCTACCTGTAAAACACCAAATCCATAACTTTGAATCCCTGTATGTTCCCTGCGAGAGACCCCAATGACCAGATTAATTCAGTGTCAACCAAGCAACCAACCAATCTATAATAATAAAAGGTAATATGCTAATTAGACCAGACAACCTTCTGCACATCCTTCCAGAAGACCTTCGGGACGAAGCAGGGGCTGGGAAAGAAGCCTCAGTCCTGGGTGCCCGCTGGTGGCCAGAGGGAAGCCCAGGTCCTGGGTGCCGGAGGGAAGCCAGTACTGGCAGCAGGGGGAAGGAAGGCCTACTCTTGCATGAATTTCATGCATCAGGCCTCAATAAAAGTGTAATATGCTAATTAGACCAGACGTCCTCCTAGATGACCTTCCAGACGAAGCTGGGGCTGCAAGGGAAACCCAGATCCCGGGTGCCTGCTGGCAGCCGGGGGAAAGAAAGCCTACTCTTGCATGAATTTTGTGTAACGGGCCTCTAGTCAAAATATATTTGCCCAATGTCTACTGTGCACAGTGATCTATTTTGGTGGGATGGAAGGCACCATGGGATGTACAACATGCCTGCTCTAGGGAGCCCAGAGTCTTAGTGGGAATCAAGTTGAACCTATGGAATAATTAGCTGAGTTCTATAATAGTCCAGGGTTGGGAAGTTTACTGTGTTCCACCTGTAGTAACACATATACTTGTGTGTTTCTGTATGTCTTTATAAATGTGTAAGGTTCTGGACACATGTGCTTGTATGTGCATGAGTTAATAAGGAAATAGGTGGCTAAATGTGTGTCTGTGTAGGATCTCAATATATATTTGTTGAATACAATGAAAAATACAAAAAAATGCATTTCATTTCTTCAGTTTCCTTTGGTTTGACTCTGCTCCTTACAAACAGCTTCCAGATATCCCGCTGCCCTCACTTGCCTCCTTAAATATCTCGTCCTCCTCCCGCAGGCGCCTCTGTTCCACTTGTCGCCGACCACTCTCCTCAGCTTCCCGCATCCTCCGCTGTCGTTCGGCCAGCATGGCAAAGGCATGGATTCTCCTCTCTTCCTGGAGTCTCACCAGCTCTTTGGACAGGAAGTCGAACATGTCTGCCAGCACCCTTCCTTCCAGTCCAGTCAGATGGTTTTCAACTAGTGACACCTTAAAAATAATGTAATTTTAAGAATACAAATTCCGCTAAAAATGGGGATTAATAGGGAGGAATGTTGGGTTACCCAGAACCATTGACAGTCACTTTATTTTCAGACTGCACTTGGTTTTTATTAGGAATATTATCTCTAGATTGGCCCCATTCGAGGGTTCTGTCACTAGGAAAACTTATGATACAATCTTAGACATGAGAAAGTAGATTGCTCCGTCAGTCACTGAAGGCTTATAGTCCTCAAGTTATAAAGAGGATTTAGCAAAGAATTCTGTTAGCGTCTACACAGAATGCATTTTTTTTTAATTTCAAGTTTAGCACTAGTCAGTTTGGCTCAGTGGATAGAGTGTTGACCCAGGGACTGAAGAATTTGCAGGTTTGATTCCAGTCAAGGGCACATACCTGGGTTGCAGGCTCAAGCCCCGATCCTGGTCAGGGCATGAGGAGGCAATCAATCAATGTGTCTCTCTCACTTCAATGTTCCTCTCCGTGTGTATCTCCCCCTCTCTTCCACTCTCTCTAAAAATTAATGGAAATATATGCTTGGGTGAGGATTAACAATAACAAAAATAAGAGCTAAATTTCAATTTCAAAACAATATTTTTTTATTGGTTTCAGAGAGGAAGGGAGAAGGAGAGAGAGATAGAAACATCAGTGATGAGAATCATTGATCGGCTGCCTCTGGCACACCCCAAACTGAGGATCGAGCCTACAACCCAAGCATGTGCTCTGACCAAGAATCCTGGTTCATAGGTCGACGCTCAACCACTGAGCCATGCCAGTCGGGCTCAACTTTAGCCAAATAAAGTGCTATGTCTTCCAAGACAGAAAGAAGAATGTCAAGGGTTTTATTAAAGATAGCAATGGAGTTTAATAAAATAGAATCTCCTAGAAATTCACTGATACCTTTTTAATTTCTTTTTTTAAAAATATATTTTATTGATTTTTTACAGAGAGGAAGGGAGAGAGATAGAGAGTTAGAAACATCGATGTGAGAGAAACATCAATCAGCTGCCTCCTGCACATCTCCTACTGGGGATATGCCCACAACCCAGGTACATGCCCTTGACCGGAATTGAACCCGGGACCTTTCAGTCTGCAGGCCGACGCTCTATCCACTGAGCCAAACCAGTTTCGGCACCTTTTTAATTTCTTAATGCCTCATCCTTTAACATAAGTTTGGGAGAATTTTAAGATCTTGAATAACATGAAAGTAGAAAGCCATAATTTCAAAGTCATTAACAACTATCTTTGAAATAGAGCAGGAGAAACACATGTCTATATGATCCTTAAGGTAAAATAAAGGCCTGGAGTTCTTGGCCAGGAATAAGCCACAGTGTCTATCTGTCCTGGCCTTTACACATGGAGAACAAAGGCATTTAAAGGACTGTGTCCTTTGCCACTCCCATCTGTTGCCTCTTCCATTCTCAAGTATAAGAGGAAGAGCTCTCCACCCAGGCACATGTTACTTTAATACTGACAGTCGGCCTCTGTGCTCAGTTCCCCTCTGGCTCATATTTGAAGGGAGGAAATCCGCACAGGTCTCCAAGGTGGTATGACTACTGGGTGAGACTGTCAATCAAGCGTAGTTATTAGTCCAACACACTCATCCTCATCCTTACCTACTGCCCAGCCCATACCTACCTCCTAACCACAATGCCCAGCTTTACTTACACAATAGGTGAGATGGAAAGGAAGGGCAAGAGTCTCACTACTCCGAACGTTTGTAAGTGGCGGTCATTCAGCCCAGAGATCACAAACAGGTTTCCTCCTCATCTCCAGGGATCACAGTTCCCTCACTTGTGTGTGTGTGTGTGTGTGTGTGTGTGTGTGTGTGTGTGTGTGTGTTGGGGGGAGGGGAGAGGGGGAGGCAACTTTTAAAATCCTGAGATTTTAAATCCTGTTCATGTCTAATCTTCTCCCTCAACAAGAAAGGTATGCTCAGGTAGTAAATTTTAATTTGAAGATTAAGTAAAAAAAAAAAAATTAGCAAGGTGATTCCATTGCAGTCATATCGTGTAATTGGCAACTGTGCATTTTCTGGACTGTTTTCCACAGAAAATGTAAGAGGAGAACAGGAGAGGGTCAGCACTGCTGTAGGCATCCATGAGGTGCCTGGTCCATCTGACCTCTGTACGTCACCAGTGTACTTAGTATATGGGAAGGTAAGCAGGGTGAGTCCTTGGCTGCGTGACAGCTCTTCCCACTACCTTCTCCCTTACCTCTTAGCTGACATGATATCTATCAGTCAGGACTAGTATGTCCGCTAAGTGGGACAGAGTTGAAAAGCCTGGACTGGCTTAGGTGCATCTGCCAAAGTCTACAATCAGAAACCTCCAAGGGCCAAAGGGGGCATTTTCCCACCCAGGTCCTGGGACCTGGCACTTTCGGGGCATTTGCTCTCTATCTGAACAGAAAAGTGCAGCCCTGTCTCCACCATTCCCAGGCCTCTCCGATTCAGAGACTCTCTGCTTCTTCCTCTGGTCCTTCTGTTGGGTCTCACAGCCTGTGGCTTTCTTCCCCTCCCTGCTGCACGAGCTCCCCAAACGCAGTGGCCATCCAGCCCTGCTGTCATGTGAAAGGAGTAAAGTTGTGCACATTTCAAAGCTGCTTAACACTCGAGCCCAAGTCCACACAGCACAAGAGTTATGTGTGTGATTAAAGGTGGGTCATAGTGGCTTTGCTGTAAGTTCACTTTCTTACAACACCAAACATTGTGCAAACAGATCGTTTTCCACACCGATTAACAGGTTAGCGGGAGAGGCAGAAAAGTGTATCTACATTGTATTCAATAGCATTAGAGACGGTGCTTACAGAGAGGAACACAGAAGAGAACAGGGAGACATGTACCCTTGTTGGGTGAGAGCTGCTATTACCAGCTGTTGTCAGATCAGCAGAACACAGAGGTCATGATGAAAGTCACAGAATAGCATGAGATATTAACATATTTAGTATGTGTTTTAATCAGCATGACTTAGGTACAGCTCCAAAGCTCAAAATAAGTGCTGATATTTACAAATAAATCTCATTTCTCACTTTTTTCTTATTGCTTTTATTACTATTCATTCTGCTAAGCTCTCAGTAACTGAAATATGGTACAGTCATCAAATGTTTGAGAAAACTTGAAAGGGAAACCTTTTAAAATGTAGGTTTCTTTTTTCTTCTTTTTGCAAATAAGGAATATAAGACCATATTCAATTCCCATTCTAATTATAGACTGTAGCAGCATAGTTTAAAAATGCTGACTGTGATAGAGTGATGGCATTGTGGGGGATGTTTCTTTTTCATCAATTCATTATTGTTATTATAATGTTGCTCACACAATAGTAACAATCAAGGGGGAAAATGTGACTAGAATGGAACAAGAAAGAAAGGGAAAGAACCTTGTGTTCATGCAAGTTCCTCTGCCGCTGCAGGGCCAGTGTCACTTGCTTCTCCGTTTTCCTCACCAGCCTGTCATCGTCTTGTAGCACGTGGGTGGCGCGCAGCTCCTGGATCAACTCCAGTCGCTTTTCTTTCCCTTCAAACATCTGTATCAAATCAAATCAAAGAGAGACTTGCAAATTAGCATCCCTTGTGTCAGGCCCTCGGGCTCCCAAGCAGTGACTTACGCAGAGAGGGTTCTGCTCCGCCTTTTGGAACTACAGAGCCAGTGTGTCTCACAGAGCGAGGTCAGCCCTCTTACAACACCCCGGCCGCTCAGGCAGAGAAGGAGGGAGCTTAGCTACCAGTTAGCTGTTTACACGGTTTCTTAAAATGCCTTTCAAAGGCAAGGGGACTGCTACAGGGTCATATTGAGAAACTTGAACTTCCCCTCATTTCCTGTGCTCTTTATTCCCTAAGAAAGCTGGGGATGGTATATTTCATGGCTATATTTTCTTTTCCTATAGATCTGCCCCTGGTTTGTAATACACAATGCGCTGTCTGAACTGAGTCAATTCTCCTGGGAAATACCAAAAGGAGAGCAAAGAATAATGCTGAACACAAAATGCTCACCCGGCTTCCCTGGACTTGCTCTTCATAACTGAGTCTTTTAGGAGCTATCACTGTCTGGGGAGAAATAACTTTTAGCTGGGGCTTTATATCAGTCCACTTTGTAAACTGAGTGTTTGCTCTGGCAGTAGAAATAATGTAAGGCTTTACAGGCAGGAAGACCAGAGTTGAATTTGCTGGTAATTAACATACTCTCTCTCAGACTTACATTACTTGCCTATAATATAGGGTAAGTGGTGAGGGAAAAAAAAGAGAAAATATATGTAGAATAAAAAATGTATCATGTGGGCATTGAGTAGGGGTTCAGACTGTAGTTATTATTTAGTTATTTCATTTATTATTCAGGTATTGCCAGCTAGGTACAGCTCAAATAGTTGTATTATGACTTTGTGGAAAATTAGGGAATCTACTTGGTCGGTGATATTTTAATGATCAAAATTCAGGTAAGAAAATTGCCGGATTTAGCAATCCCAGGAAGACATTACTGTCACACTGTCTTGGCTACAACTGTAGCAAACAGCAGGCAGGCTATTCCTCTCCTTGATACTGTGTCACCCATCTGGGCAATCTATGGCAGTAGAAGGGAATGGGTAGGTAATTCAAGAGTAGAGTTCCAAAGAACACAGACAACAGTGTGGTGATGGCCAGAGGGAAGGTGGGGCGAGGGCTGGGTGGAGGCGGGCAAAGGAGGAGGAGAATGAGGACATCTGTAATAGTGTAAACAATAAAAATAAAGTAAAACACACACAGGAAAAAAAAAGAAAGATTGTAGTTCCATAGGACAGAGGTGAATTCACCCCCAGGAGCCAAGCACATGCACATTCTGTGACTCTGTATTCAGAGGAGAAGCACATGGCCAGTGGGTGGACCCTACACACCACATTCTGAACGACTCTGCCCCGGAGTAACTTTTGAAGGAAGATGACAGCCTTTTCTATATCTTCTTCTTCCTAAAAGAACAAAGGGAGAACCAGGCAGCTTGAGAACAGCAGTCAAGATCAAATAATTTTTTTAAGAATTAGATCAAGCAAAAGAGACTGTGCCAGAAGGATTTACATAGAAATAAATAATGGTCTCTACCTTCATTGAATATATAGTATTTTAAATGTTACTTACTGTATTATTAAACTTCATTATTATTTTTCATCATAAATACCTTTGACAAATCATATAAAAAGTAAAAAAATCACCTACTGTCATACTATACCTATAATTTAAGCAATTTTCATTTTTCTATACTTCTTTCCAGCAAAATCATTCTTGAAGCTGAAAGTATTATTTACAGCATCCCTTTTGCAATAGTTTTTTCATGTTTGATCGTGAGGAAACAAAGGATACAGCTAATCTAGGTCAGAGTCTAGAGCAGTGATTCTCAACCTTCTGGCCCTTTAAATACAGTTCCTCATGTTGTGACCCAACCATAAAATTATTTTCGTTGCTACTTCATAACTGTAATGTTGCTACTGTTATGAGTCATAATGTAAATATCTGATATGCAGGATGGTCTTAGGCCACCCCTGTGAAAGGGTCATTCGACCGCCGAAGGGGTCGCGACCCACAGGTTGAGAACTGCTGGTCTAGAGGGATGTACTTCTCACAAAAATTTAGCAAAGCAGGTAAAATCATAATATACTAGACAAGATCAGCCATTTATAAAAATCACCTTTAATAACTATGTGTCAAAAGCAAAAAGAGCAGCCTGGTTGGTGTTGCTCAGTGGTTGAGCATCTACCCATCAACCAAGAAGTCCCTGGTTCAATTCCCAGTCAGGGCATATGCCTGGGTTGCAGGCTTGATCCCTGGCAGGGGACGTGCAGGAGGCAGCAGATCGATGTCTCTCTCTTATTGATGTTTCTATTTCTCTATCCCTCTCTCTTCCTCTCTCATTAAAATCAATAAATACATTTATAAAAAAAACCCCACCAACAACAGAAAAAGCAGATTGGGCAAATCTAATTAAGGCACCTCTGAAAGCAAAAGAAAGCGACAGTAAAATCAGTGGCATTAACACGTGATAGACAATGTGTTAACCACCGGCAGTGGTGGTACAAGGTCTACAATGGGGGTATTGTCCAGACCACATCCTAGCCAGGCAATGGGAGCTTTCCAGTCCCTCCACAGTTGGCCCATTAGAGGTGCTAGGGCAGTGATGGCGAAACTTTTGAGCTCGGCGTGTCAGCATTTAGAAAAACCCTAACTTAACTCTGGTGTCGTGTCACATATAGAAATTTTTTTGATATTTGCAACCATAGTAAAACAAAGACTTATCTTTTTGATATTTATTTTATATATTTAAATGCCATTTAACAAAGAAAAATCAACCAAAAAATGAGTTCGCGTGTCACCTCTGACACAGATCGTGCTAGGGAGCTGATCTGTCCACTGCCCTCCCTTTGACAAAGCACAACCTCCTGAATACAACATGGCTTCTTGTAAGAATTGCCCTCTATGGGGAGATAATGGGCTGACCTACCATGAGGAACATCCTGATGCACCAGGCAGTTTTATTTCTCCCCATAAAGTAATACATTTGCATTCTGGCATCTCTAGCAGTTTGTTATGGGTTTGTTTAGACTGGGTCAGCCTTAGCCAGCTCAGGTACCTTGCGCTCAAACTGAGTTTGGGATCTGTGAAGGTGAGATATGGCCCGTTGAGCCAGTCCTACCTCAGAAGTCAGCCTTCCTCGCGACTTTCTAACATTTCATTCTTCTCTGTCATCAGCCACCTCTCCATTGGGTAGATAATTATAGTAACTGACCATCATTCAATCCTTTTTTGTTTTATTTGACACACATGAGGATTACCTTCTGATGCCTACTTTTCTTGGGAAAACTTTTTATTCTTTGTGTTTTATTTTTTTAAAGGATTAGATTTCATTTCATCTCATTTTACTTGTTTATGTGATTGTGTGTTCGATGTTTGAAAATAAGAATAAAGGCAACATAAATTAACACTGTTAAATTAGGCTTGTTTGTAACTCAAACTATCCTAAGAATAAATGGACAGCAATGCTAAATTTTGAATTTTAAATAGAAAAGTTTCAAACTTACAGTGGAAGTCATTTCCAAGGTTGGAGTTGGAAGCCGAGGTTGAGGTATTGGCTTTCTTTGAAGAAAGAGCAGAGGTTTCTTTGGTTCAGGAACCTTATTCTTCTTATCCAACAGTGCCTGAAAAACCAAACTACTGTAATTTCTTCCTTTATATTTTCTTCCACTACCACTTCTAGGCCAAAGATATGAATATCAATCAGAAATAACCTTCTCTATGGCTATGCTAGGACAGTTTGAAAAATTCCAAACCAGGGTGCTTGTATCTCCCAAAGGACGCTGTGATATTCCTAAGGATAAGTTAGCTACTGAATAAACATAGCTCATATTCTATGTATATCCATTTAAATCAAATCCATCAATGTATTAAAAATAATACACCTTAACCAAGATAGTTTTGTCCCAGGTATGCAAGGATACATTATTATTTGTAAAAATAAAACTTAAAAATAACCCATCTAGCCTGGCTGGCATGGCTCAGTGGTTGAGTATTGACCGATGAACCAGGCAGTCATGATTCAATTCCCGGTCAGGGCACATGCCAGGGTTGCAGGCTTGATCCCCAGTATGGGGCGTGCAGGAGGCAGTCCATCAGTGATTCTCTCTCATCATTGATGTTTCTATCCCTTTCTCTTACTCTCTGAAATCAATAAAAATGTATTTTTAAAAACCACCCAGAAACTGGAGAAACCAAGATGGTAGCATAGGTAAACACTGGAAATTGCTGCTTCGCACAACCACTTCAAAAAGACAACTAAAAGACAAAACAGACATCATCCAAAACCACAGGAAGGTTCACTGAGTGGAAATTCTACAACTAGAAGGAAAGAGAAAAGCACACTGAGACTCAGAGGAGGTGCAGTGTGGAAGTAAAGTGCAGTGGTATGGAGGCATGAGCGGAAAGAGCTGGCAACTGAGGACACGGCTGTCTTTTTCAATCGGGAGGGAGACACAAGCTCCTGACTGCTCTGAACTCCAGTTCCGGGCGAGTCTCTGGGGACCTAGACTCATATGGGGAGAAACTGGACTGTCTGGCATCGGGCAGAATTTGAGGGCACTTTCTCTCAGAGGTGCTTGCAGTGATTACCTCGGAACAGTGAGAACTTCGATCTCTTAGGGCAGGACTGAGGAGCAGCCATAGCTGCTTGCTCCGTCCAGTTGATTCCCCGAGACCCCGCCCCACCCAAGCTGTGTGCAGAGGCCTTTGCATATGAATGCCCTGGCCCTTTGCAATCTAAAATTCCCTAACTAACTGCAGCTGGGTCAGAGAGACCCAGAACATCCAAAAGAAGGCCCAAGGCCCCACAGCAGCTTGCATTACTTCACAGCTG